ATTTCTTAAGCTATTCTTGAAATAATACTATTGTCATCCATGCATTAGCACTATTTCCATATTTTACACCAAGTTTGTTATGTTTAATACCTTTGAAACAGCATGGATTAGGTGACTTTCCAATTACAAATGGCATAATTTTATCCGTCCTATTAGCATTAACACAAAATGCTAAAGTTAATCATTCTTTATTTTTTTTTCTACCTTTAAGACAGGTTGTTGCTAATGTAGTGTCTGGTTCAAGACTAAAAGAAGAAAAAAAAATTAATAAGCTAAGTATTAAAAGTTTAATTTTATTTATTTTTACCGATAAAACAATTACATTTCATCTATATTGTAAATATCTTTTAAATCATATTTTTCTAACAGTTTTTTTAATTTAGGAATTTCAGTTGCAATGATATTATTATCTACGGATGCATCTTCACCATGCTTTATTATTTGGCTAAGACTGTGTCTTTTTTTAAATTTATACAACTAGCCATGTGAGAATTTGAGATTACCATCTGGTATTTTTAATAATCGAGCAAAATATTTTGCTTTTTCGATTAAAATAGCATCACTTAATATAATTTGATCTTGACTTTGTAGGATCCACTCGAGTAAGGTATTCTCAAAATTTGGATATTGCACCGTTTTTTGTCTTTTTGTATTTAAGTTATCTCTAATATTATCCTTATTTTTTATTAAATGCCCGATAGTAGAGGGATGAACTTCAAAGCCCATATTATCTTTTACCCAAGTGACGAGATCAATATGGCTGATACTTGGATGTTTTTCTTTAAATGCAATAATATTTTTTCTTTGTTGATTGCTAAGAGTAGTTTTTTCTTTTCGTTTGTTAGAAAACATGTTGCAGCTTATAATTTTATGTATATAACGCATATACAGATTTTTATTTAAAAAATTTATAAGCAAAAATTTGATTTTTATTATTTTTTTTTTATTAAAAATTAAAAGTATTAAATATTATTATTTTAGCTATAGGACTTTATCTATTCATTACCAAATGTTTATTCAGAGTGCTTTTGCTTTAACTAAATGTTTTTCTATGATTATTATTAACTTCATAGATTCTATGAATATTTAAATGTGAAAAAAGAAAAAAATCGAACAAAAAGAAATTCTTTGACAGAATTGGAAATAGGAAATATTAATTGAGTTAATAGAGAACATGACCAGAACGACCACCAATTTTACGGGTTATATGGGTAATGCTATTGTTGCAAACGAATTAGTTTTGGATCTATAGAGCTATCGCTATAAAAATTTTGACCTTGCATTGCATATTGTGTATATTGAACATTGGTAGCCCTGGTTGTATTGTTAATAGAGTTCAATGGATACTTATCTATTGAGCTCTATTCAGATTTCTATTAACTTTTTTTTTTTAATAAGTATCATTCCTGCATAATAGACTATCAATTATTTTTTTTTCGAATATTAGAAGCAGAATTTTGTGCAAACACAGTACCTGAAGTATTAATTGAGAAACAATGGTTATATAAGAACTAACTTTATTCAGAAATAGCATTATCAAATTGTAATGCCAATTAAGATAAGTATCGTTTAAATTTTATCAGTAAATTAGACGTTTTATTAATAAGGTTGTTTATAAAAATACTAACAATAAGAAAAGCAAGACCTGGTATAATACTTGAAAGTTGTTGGGGTAATCAAAGTTGGATAACTACCTTAGATATATCGTATTCTGAAATTATACTAGTTAGGCAGTTCTTAGACGCCTTCCTCAATAATTTGATGAAACAATTTGATTAGCTAAAAAAAAATAAAGTTTAATCATTTTGGTTAAAAAAACTGGCTTCGAAGTATTGAATCAAACTTGGTGTAAAATATGGAAATAGTGCTAATGCATGGATGACAATAGTATTATTTCAAGAATAGCTTAAGAAAT